GAGCATGTCTTGAGCTCAACGTCGATCCCGCTGATTGTCCCGCAGATGGCCTTAGCGGAGCACCTGGAGCTAGGGCGATGTACATTAGTCGCATTTAAGTTGATATTGAAGTTCCATAGACTTACTTTGGTGTCACAATGGGGAGTGTCCGCGCTTGTTGACGGCGTCGAGCTTCGTGCGGTCGTCAGACTCAGAGGGTGACGGGATGCATACATGAGCTATGGACTGGAGTACGGAACCTACCGGAACAGGAAGTGTGACAGTGTAAGATGTCACACAAGCCGTGACTACCATTCCCTAAGACTCGATTAAGGACACAATGCTCCTATTTTTGGTGTAGGAAGGCTTAACTGAGGCCATATGGGCCGAAGAAAATATAAAAACTAGGGGTTGTATGGCAAGTAATGCCCAAATGGGCACTGGTGACATGTAGCCGTGACGTGACGCTCGGCAATATCCGCTATGGGAATCCATGTGGCGCTGCCCGCGTCTGCCGAAACCACGACTATATCCCTAGCCGTACCACGAGAACTGCAGTGGGTGCACCACGACCAAATGGCCATGGAAGTAGATGTATATACTGTTCCCGTAGATACTTGAGCTCCTTCATTGTAGCGTAGTTACTAAAATGCAGCGGTTGCGACTAATAAGTACATATGACAAGTACCTCAGGTTCCGAGTACTGGGTAGCCACTTGCACTTGCAAGCATGTTGCCGTGCGGATTCGATTAAACCGCGAAAAATGAATTTATAACTTGGACGTGATAACCTGGTTGGAAACATATACGTGCTCCTTCTTCACCCTGCCTTTGTGATCATAATAGTCCTGCGGCAATTCCTCGTTCACGAACACTTTCCGAGGAGGCCCGATCTTCTTGGTGCGCGAGAAGAGCTGCGCAACGTCGAAGGCAGCAAACCTGTCGTACCAGGCCCGAAGGCCTGTGCGTTTCTCGAACATTAACGACGTAGGGTTACAGGGAAGGGGAGGGCGCTACGGGCAGCATGAGCCGGCGATACTGACGAGGAGGGAAAGGCGCATCCCACCCAGTACCGCACTCCCATTGCCGGCAGTCTCGCTCAGCATCCTGACATCAGCCACCCGTGCCGAAGACCTCCGAGCCGATCGTGTACTCGTCAGCTTCGCCGGTCACAGCGGGACTGGCCAGTTTCCTTATATGGGACCGAGCCAAGGCTCCGAAGCCCGTCCTTGGGACCGTCAGCCGCCGGTTCAGTACATGCTCGCCCGCTGTCCATCTTGCTCTGCCTCACCGCTTCATCAGATGCGGATGGCAATGTCAATAGAAGTATCTCAATCTCCGTCTACAGGATATGAAACAACTAGGATACCAAAAGTGCAAAGGAGTGTGGTCGGTTTTCAAGACAGACAGCGCAAGCGACATGGGCGGTACATGATCCTGTCAACGAGGGAGGTGGGTCCATCGGAGGGAGAAACAGACTAGAGAGGGTATAGTATAATAAAAGCCTTTTGTGCGCCGTTCCATCGGCGCTGCCCCAGGTCCCAAGAAAGATGGTATCTATATCCCGCCCCAGATGCTGGGAAAACGGGAGCTTAGGACATAACGCTGGGAGTCTGTGCGGGAGCAGGACGAGGGTTCGCCTGATCCTTGAGCGCGAGCAGTTGTTTTGATCGGAAGGCCTCGTAGTGGATCTGTGCAGTGGTCTCAATGAGATCCTGCAGGTGAGTCCTGGATACCGGTACGTCAGCACACTGCGGTCATCTCGGATCGTTCGGACGACAGACCTCGTCAGGAAATCCCTGAGATGGACGAATTCGCAGTGGTTCGGGTCCTCCACATTAACAACACCCCACCGGTTCTTCCGGCCACGGACGGTCTTGCCGTCAATAATAACGTTGCGCTCCGAGCCGACGACAGCGAAAGGGATCATACTCTGTAATAATGTTAGTCAAGGACACAAGCAAGACGTGACTCAGAATGATAGGCAACGTACCCTGATCTGCTCGTTAATCTGGATCTCTTCCTCGTCGTTCTCCTCCGTGTCGAAGGGATACAGGCGGATATTGTTGTAGACAAGCTCCTCCCTGATCTACAGCCCAATATCAGCAAACGCTTTCCGAAACTGGATGGATTGGCATACCCTCTGCTTGAAGATCTCCCGCTCCTCGAGCGTCAACGAGTCGGACTTGGCAATGATAGGCACAACGTTCACGACCTCGCTGAGCTTCTTCATGACAATAACATCAATCGGGCGGAGCGAGTGGCCGGTTGGGTTGATGAAGTACAGGCAGCAGTGAATACGCGTGTCCTGGATGTGGCGGTCGCGCATGGCCGTGAGCTCCTTGCGGAGGTAGGCGCTGTGCTGGTCCTTAATGTACTTGATAATGGGATCCCAGCTGGTTGGTTTGCCGTGTCAGATAGGCATAGTCGATTTACCAGTCATGACACGCACCAGTCCTCGTTGTTGACCTGGTCGCCGTACCCAGGTGTGTCGACGATGTTCAACCGCAGCTTGACGTTGTTCTCGACGATGACTACCCGCAATATACGTGTCAGCTCCATCCCTTGCAATCATCTTCTGAGTAGCGTACCATGAGAGACAGCCTGGATCTCCGTGGTCTGTCTGACCGGCTCGTCCGCCTCCTTCCTCCCCTTGGAATCAATCAAGTGCGACGCGAAAATGGTGTTAATCATGGTCGACTTTCCCAACCCAGTTTGACCTTCTCAGCGGCGCCCGTATCAGCCTCAAAGCCCACATAACAGAGACACGTAACCCAAATATACTAACCAACGACGATGACATTGAACTGGAAACCGCGCTTCAAGAGCTTATGCTCAATCTGCTGTGTGATGGTGTCGAAACCGACGTAAGACTGAGCACGGATCTCTTCAGCGGTGGGTGCGGCCATGATTCTGAACTGGTCTGGGGACGTGCAAAGGTGGACGAGAGGAGGAGAGGGAGGCAGGAAGCAAAGTGCTCAGCGACAGCGACCGTTGAGCTGGACGAACGGAAGAATCGAAGCTTGGGAACCCCTAGCGTTATTACCATATTTGGGCATGTTTTATTGACAGAAATCAAGAAATGTCCACCGTCTGCTCGCTCTGCAACGGTTCTGGCTATCATATTGCTATCCACGTCTACCAGCTGACATGACCATTCGATGAAGGGCCAGCGCGTCACGAGGAAGGGGAGGGACGAAACCCGAGATTACATTGCTAACTGCGCGTACGATGTTTACATTTCTGATTGTGTAACTTCTCTAAGCCCGACAATGATCCCACATCGTCCATGCAACTTCGAATATCAAGGGTTTACAGACTAGCACCCAACCTGTGAAAGAAACACAAACGCAAGGCAATAAGTACTCCCGCATTCTCTACGTTGAGAAATAATGAGACAGATAGGGTATCGACAACGCCACCAGCAAGGACAGAACAGCAGCGACCGCTGTCAGAGTCCATAAGGACACCTTGACTTTTACTGTGGGTGGTGCTCGCTGAGAGCTTTTGCGTACGCTCGAGACCGACTCAATCGGTGATGGCGGCGTGTCGTTGCGCGATGTGGCACGAATGAAGATGGGTACGTACCCGATCGATTTGAAGCCATGGATACTGTTGTGTTCGGCGTGAGCATCGTATACGTATACAGCTTTTGCGCAAAAAGAAAGCACGTACTAGTAACCCTCCAAGTTCCTCGTGATTTCTTCCTCCATACCCGTGGGCACGCCCTCGAGCTTCAATTTCAGGACTGTAGAGTCGGAGCCCTGGTCAAGCATAGCCGTTAACGTAGCATAGTGACCTGGGGATACAATCGTTTTAGCGTATCTTCGTGGCTTGAAGGCGCTGTGTATTACCTGAAGGCCATGTGGGACTCGACAGCGCCCAAGTTTGCTTGATCTCCTTCCCGGGGGTGAGCGAGATGTACTTGCCCTTGACGCCTCCCCCGAACAGCGAGTATTCAGTGTCAGGCTGCGCCTTCGACTATTCAGAGGAGGCACGTCTTCATATCAAACAGCTCAGTTGTGACGCGCCGATCACGTACCACTGCGGGATTCCTCGACCAAGCAGGAATCTTCTTCTCGTCTGTGAGCATGGAGAACAGGTCATCTGCGGAGGCCATAAACGAAGCCTCTACCGAGACAGTCGTCGTGCTGAGCGCAGACTCGGGCTTCTTCACCGGTGCGCTGGCGCTCGCAGCCGCAGAACTAGGCGTCGCGGACGTAGCCTTTCCTGACGAAGACGGCGTCGACGGTCCCGGCGTGCCTGCCCGGCTATTGTCGCCCGAGACGTAGACGTCTTTCCCGTGTCTGTCTATGATGGCTTTCGGGAATTCGGAGAACTTGGCCTCCAGCAGCTCAGGCAGGCGCTTCTTAGCGAGTGCGAACAGGGCGTCGACAGCGGGTGACGAATCCGTGGAGAGGCTCCATTCGTACTGAGATGATTAAAGACAAGTCAATTCCTGGGTTGCATGCAGTGAACAGTGGTGTCCGCACGATCGGACGTGGCGGCGGTAAGGAGATGGCATTCGTTTACTTACCACCAAGTCTGAGACCTTGTCAACGATGTTTTCGTGCGAGACCTCAGGGATGGTCAGCTTGCCGGAGACCTCAGTCCCGTCAGAAGCAGTGCCAGACCATCCCAGGTCCATCTTCACGTCGAAGATGGTGATCAGCCTACGCGAGCATGGGGCAAGCTCAGTCCATCTGACTCAACATCGCGCAGTCGACATACCACGTACTTTGACTTCCTTTGACCCAGCTCAACATCCCCATCCATATCTCTCAAGCTAGATATCGAGACAACTTCGTCCCCATCTCCCTTGACACTGACCGAAACCAATTCCTGCTCAAACCACGTCTTCGCCCACGGCGTGACGTTCTTGTTCTTCCAGTGCCAGTTGGCCGTGCTCAAGGGCATGGACGACATCGCGGCTTAGGTCGTAGGCGTAGAATTAGGTTGAATGCAAGGCTCGAGCGTCCGAAGAACTTTGTGCGTGAAGTCCATTCCTGAGTTTGACGTACAGGATTTATTGGCGCGATATCTCCTATCCAGAACATTCTACACCTTTCTTATTACCTTCATCAGGTTTCAGCGCTACATAGCCTGTACCCGTTGTTGTCTAACCTCTGTGAGCGTGAGAGGGGTCGAAATTAGACCGGTAGTTTCGACCGCCTAACGGAGGGATTCCAACCGATAAAGGGCTGGAATTGTCCCCCTACCGTACGAAAGCTATCGTGTCAAATTAGGCCACGAAATTGTGAATTCCGACCGGTAGATCACGATGCTAAAATGAGACCGAGAATGAACCAATTTTAATTCGTTAGACTATTGAAAACTTGAGCAGATATACATGTGAAGGATGATGCAATTTCTGAGTGATCAAGTTGGGTTATTTCTTTCGCTATTTGACCGCATTTCCGTACGTTACTCGCTACACAAACACACCATGTTTCGGTCGAAAACAAACTTTATAAATCAAAATAACACGCTATACAATCAGTACTATCGGAGAGATATGTTACAGTAGGAGACAATGAAGTAAAGAATAGGTTTGAATATAAGTAGCCAAGGGTGCAAGTAAAACTAACGAGGAGTCATAATGAAATAAGAGGAGGGGGAACAGGATGATATCAAGGGTGGGTTTAAACATACATTAAGGTTCGTCATTATTCTCCTTGTTG